AAGGTTAAAAAATGCAGTAATACTTTTCCTGATTTTGGTAGTAATTACTTTTTAGTTTACATAATTTGATCATGTAATATAAAGGAATACAGATAAATTCAGATCACTGTTTGGTATTCATGAGTGGCATAGTACTAGATATCATCACCAAAAACACCATTGCATTATATAAACATCATTCACTTAGATTTTTCAAACCTGCTAATTTGATTATCTATTATGCAGGTGCAAATTACGGCAGGCAATGAGCTGGAGGTCTTGATTGCTCCTGAAGGTGTGATTCCTGTCCTCACCTTCTTGAAAGACCACACCAACGGACAGTATACCTGCCTGACCGACTTGTGTGGGGTCGATATGCCCAGCAGAGCTTTCAGATTCGAGGTTTGTCCTTTTTTTTTTTTTTTTTCATTCATTTATTCATTTGGTTTATAGAGGAAAAATGATAGTGTTCAGAAATAGAATTTTCCTTCATTTACTGTAATCCTGAGGCATTCCCAGTTATTGGTGTCTTTTGACTTGAATAGCCTACATATATAGGTAGACCTAAGTCTCGTATATGCCTTAGCTTCTGACTGAAATGCATTAACATGCTTTGTGTTACTGTCATATATATTCACTTATTGTGCTTATCCTAGGTCTGTACTTTTTATTTTCATTTTTATGCACAATCCTTCTTAGAAATTAGCAAGAAGGATGTGGTTTGACTTTCAGTCTTCCCATACAGTTTTTAATGTGCAAAAATCTATAAACAGTAGTATGTGCACACAGATGAAATAAAAGACAGCCACGCCAAGACAGGAATTTGAAATTATAACCTATCAGGTCCTTCTAAAATCCTCTTCAGGTGAAGAAACTTCAGGTGGATTTTTTATATATTTTAATTTTTTTATTTCGTAATCTATTTTTCATATATTATTATTATTTATTCATTTATTTTATTTTTATTTATTTATTTTTTTTTTTTTTAGTTTTTATAGCTTTTCCATAGCCAGGACTTCATGCTGATTGAAATATCATTTTGCAGGTGGTGTACAACTTGCTCTCTGTTCGCTTCAACTCCAGAATCAGAGTGAAGACATACACTGATGAGCTGACTCCAGTCGACAGCGCTTGTGAGGTAAGACTAGCATGCATCTGTTGTGTATTTATATAATGAACTGGAGGATTTTTTTTTTTGTCTTTCCTGAAGATTTTGTGGGGTTCAAATGATGATTTACATAGTCTATAGTCTCTCTTCAAAAGATCTCTGTTGATATAAGCATTGAAAACATTGCCTGTTTAAACATCCGTGTTCAGGCTGAAGACTTCTGCATTTACCTTAAAAAAGTCTGAAAATGGAATTCATGGCCAAGTTGCTTGCATTTTTGAGGAATTTTCACCTCCAAGAATAACCTCAAGATTTGCAGGAAATTGACTCATTAGTAGAATATGAGGCAGTTCATGAATATTATAAACTTCTGCATTGTATGAGTCAAATTATTAAAATACTGATAAATGTAAAGAGACATAGAGCACAAAGGAAAGAGGAATTCTATATCAAAAAAAAGGTTTCCCAAAAGTGAGTAAAATTTATGTGCATTTTGCATTCTCTTTAAACTTGAAGCCATGATAAAACCCCTGTGGTTGATAAGCTTACTATTTTGAATTTGTAACCTTTCAAAGTTCCCCCCTAATTTTGTAATAATTTCCATTATTATAGATTATCTTAGTGTGAGCAAATTAGTTATATCATTAAGATTATGTATATCTTCATTGTATGAGACCTTTTTTACATCTTTGAATGTACTAATAGGTTTGTAAGTTTTTTTTTTTTGTGTGTATGTGTGATTTAGCCTTGAATAGAAGCCTACCCTAATCAGAAGGTGAGTTTTTACATGGGATAATTACAAAAAAATTTTTTTCAGTGAGGAAGAAAAAAAAAAAAAAACAAAATTTTTGCCTTCCTGATGATATTCAACCTTAAACAGATTTCATAAAGCTTGTCAAATTCCTATCAGAGTTTTGCAGAGAGGTTTTACCCCCATAAATTTTACTCCTCACACATTAATGAATTCCGTATTTGTTTCAAATATTGGTCTTGATATCGTACATGATTTTAATAGTGTAATATAATTGCATTTTCTTAGATTATGTCTATGTTTACAATGTGAATGTTATACAATATGAATGTTTCAAAGTGTGAGAAGAATATAGGTTGTTTTTATATTTACTAAACCAGTATATATACAGGAAATAGGGAAAAGACATTCCAGTACATTCACATTACCCTGCTCACTATTACTACATCTTGTTACAGACAAAGTATACAAACAAAGAAAAAGTATGTGTATGTTAGTGTTCATGTTCAAAAATCTATTTCCCTGATCTCCCCCCCCCCTCCTTTTTATCTTTGGGTGGCAGTATTGCACAAAAAATAGAGTGTAGTTATTAACTTAGGAATTGATTTTATTCAGGAATAGCTTAAATATGTGAGGAGTGTTACAAGCTACCATATTTGCTGTTTTTATTTGTTTATTTCCAAAAAATAAAAATAAATAAATAACAGGGACATCATTATAAGGTAAGGATAGATACACAGAGCAACACAAAATAGACTAAAGCATTTTGTGACACTAGGGTCTAAAAGAGCTGTTGTAATAAGACATATTATTGTAGAGTGCTAAGGAAAGAAAATTGTATTTATTGTTATTAGTTATTTTATTTTCTATATTGTTTAATATTGTTATCATTATTTTCTTAAGGTGTATGCTGGCGCCAATTGGTATGAGCGAGAAGTGTGGGACATGTACGGCGTGTTCTTCGCCAACCACCCAGATCTTCGAAGGATCCTCACTGACTACGGATTTGAGGGACATCCCTTCAGGAAGGACTTCCCACTCTCTGGCTACGTTGAGGTAAAAAGGGCCAAGTGTAATGGGGTAGGGTAGGGGAAGGCTGTTTATTCAAGTTTCAGTCTTGCAGAGGTATACTATATGCTGTAACCCTTCTTGTCTTGGAGTAAAATATGTTATGGTTTGATAAGGGAGCCTACTATAGAAAATGGGCTATTGAAATTTCCATGTGCATGGATTTTTTGCTTTCTTTCTTTTCTCTTTCAGTTGCAATTATTTTCCATTAAGATACATTTTCTTTCAATTCAAAATTATAGATAAATAGCCTCCCACTTCCTTTTACCCTCCCTAAATGAAGAAGCATACAATACAGTCTTAATTTTGCAGACACTAGATCACCTCAGATATACTGATTCCTCCTGTCTTCCATTCCAGGTTCGTTATGATGATGAGGCTAAGCGAGTGGTAGTGGAGCCCCTTGAATTGGCACAAGAATTCCGAAAGTTCGACCTCAATGCCCCCTGGGAACAGTTCCCCAAATTCCGAGACCATGTGCCAGCAGAGGACATACCCATCAAGGAGGAGAAGGAGTAAATAACATGGGGCTTAGACTGCGTAGAATTTAATAGCAGGAAAGGAAGGAAGGCCAAGATGAACAGTGGCTTTTGACTGCAGAAAGGTCAATTATGAAACTTGCCTGGGAATTGTGGTCTTTGTACGTGAAGGGAAGGCCGACATCTGGTACAGGAAATATATATTGATCCCTTTTCAGTGTCAGCTGGAATAGGAGAATATATTGTGGATTTATTTAATATTTTATGTAAATACATCTTATAAATAAATGGTTAAACATTTGCTTTTTGTATTACAAGTAACCAGTCATCCTAAAAGTTTTATAGGGACTGTAATTTTCAGTGTGTACTACAAAATTATGTCCTTTACATTGCTTTTATTTATGTCTTTTAATATGGAAATCTAAAATATACAGAGATTTATTCCTGACCACAATTAGTATTTGTACTAGATACACCCTACATCGACCTGTCTCTGTTGTATGGGATTAAGTTTTCACCATTAATTGAACAACATGCAACTCAGCGTGTGAAATCCTGATACAAGAAGGTGAAAAGGAATGTCTTTATTTCATGCACATATCTGACCAGAATCTTGACAAGGTAAAGTAAACAGTTTGCAACACAATAGCAGGTCTGGCATATATTAAGGCACTTGGCATTCCAATTTATATTCTTGACTGGTTCAATATAAACAAAAAAATCAAAGTAAGTTATTTTGGGGCAGTGATAACTTATAACACTCTCTCTCTCTCTCTCTCTCTCTATATATATATAATGTGTATATATATATATATATATATATATATATATATATATATATATATATATATATATATATATATATATATATATATATATATATATATATGATTATGTACGTATATATATGTTGATATATATAGATATGCATACACATATGTTACATATATATGTGTATATGTATATATATATATATATATTATATATTATATATTATATTATATATTATATATATATATATATATATATATATATATATATATATATATATATATATATATATATATATATATATATATATATATATGCATATGCATATTTATGTGTGTGTATGTACAGAATGAGTGTGCACCATTACACAAGTCAATATGCGTATGTTACATCATGACAACAGCTTACAGCCAGTACCTTTCACATCTTATTAAGGTTGAGAATGTTGTGACCTAGTGGTTCAGTTAAGTTAATTTCCGTATATATATATGTAGCCGTTTTAGAGCATGTCAACTTCCATTTAACAAAACTTCACATGAATCTTTACCCCTCTCGCTCACACCCACGTACGCATATATAACGAATCCTTTTTAAATTAATAAAAGGAGTAAATGAATATATGTGTGAGATGCATCAACAAGTACATATAACATCATGACTTTATGAGAAAATTATATACTTCTAATATCTTAATTGAGAGATTGATTTCTGTGAACTGGTATATCCTTTAACATGAAATGTGTCCTATTATACATTAGAACTGGAATTTCTTTGTCAGTAAGAAACTTTTGACTGAATAGACGAATGTTGTTTGAGTCAAAATATCAGTTTCAAAGTCTCATTTTATTATACAAAAGTCTTTTAAATATTGACAATGTTATTTGTCCTTTTCGTACTAAGGGAATATTTCCCTGATCTTAGGCATGATAACTGGGCACAACTGGAGCGTGATATGCTGGTTCAGGGGCGTGATATGTTGGCTCAGGGGCGTGGTAAGCCTTGGCAGGGGCGTGGTGAGGGGCGGCTGCGTGGGCGTCGTAGTGGGGCGTCCCCTCGTAGGAGACGGTGGGGTGGTAGCCAGTCTCGTCGGCGTAGTAAGTGACGGTCTGGACGCGGCCGTCGGGGAGGTGCACGAAGTACTTGCCCTCCGTCTTGTAGCCGTCGCGAGCCTCCGAGTGGCCGAAGTGGGTGCCGGCGTAGTCGTCGTGGACGGCGTGCTCGAAGGCGTAGTGTGGAGGCGTCTGAAGAGAGTGGAGAACCACCACGGTTTTATTGGGACGCAGTTTTAGTCTTATATGGAGGTGTCATTGTCCTATATAAAAAATCTTTCCCAAATTCAAGAAAATGTAAAATTGAGATCCAAAACTACGATTATCAATACACTAACAGTAGGAAAACTTACATCAGGATAAACAGGAGCATATCCCTTTCCATGGTGTACAGGGGCAGCATCAGGGGCAGCATGATGTGCACAGCATGGTGCATGGTGTACAGGGGCAGCATGATGCACTGGGTAGCATGGTGTACAGGGGCAGCATACAGGGCTACATGATGTAGCGGAGCAGCATGGTGACCTAGTGGGTGGTGCAGAGAACTCTTGACGTGGTGACTGATATCTCCTGAAACGAGGGCGACCACGCCTGCCACCAGCACCAAGCCTACCTGTTGGCGAATAGAATAGCGTTAATAAAGGAACTTAAAAAAATCTTTCCCACTTCTTAAAACCTTCAAATACCACAGGAAGCACCAGCACAAAGTCAGTACCTTTCGCATCATGTTGAGGTTGAGAATGTTGTGAGTTAGTGGGAAGTGCCGCCCTCTTTATATAGCTGCCGCGCCACTTGCGTTGACCGCTGAAGGTCACTTCTGTTGTGTCCGCCTAAAGAAAGCTCTCTGAACTTACATACAATGCAATCAAATATTAACTTCGTTCCAAGTACAACTTTATCTTGCAGGAAAAAGAACTTTCAAACTAAGTTTGTTTGCTATATACAGATGTTGATCAAATGCAGTTTGGAAACCCGGACTAAAGAGCAAGGGTTCACTGAGCATCCTCTTTCCGTTGGAATTTGTTCCCGTGGCAAGGTAGGTCGCTTTACCGATGCAGATCTCCATAACCATCACCGTGCAGCCCAGATAAGAAATCTTATCAGCTGTCACAGAGATTACAAAGAAGGGAATATAAAAGGTAGACAAAATTTGTAAAGGTTCCATGTATAAAGAGAATATTGCTATATATGTCTGACTGATGGTCCTCTTAATTCAATCACATTAAATAAGTGTGATACGTGTTTGTAGATAGATATAACTATAGACTGATACACAACTTGAACATTTACTAATCGCCTGGGGAGCGTTACATGGAGGTAATACGAGTAAGTTAGAAGATGCCACTGGGTGTGATCTTACAAGTATGTTCTCCGCCTTCTGTCTGAGGTTTAGCAGGAGACATTTGGGATATTAATGTTTCATGAAAGAATTAATTACACATGTAACCTCAGTCTCAAGAAACTCAGGGCTGCAGATCCTCAGTGCCCAGAGGAAGAAGCCAATTACAACCCCAGATTTCGTTTTATGGCTGTAGGCGGAGTAATGGTGGATATAATCGTCTTTATTTGTAGGCTTCCTGTATACAGAAAAAACGTAGGCCGTCGTCACCCCGATGGATCAGACTCTCAACATGAATACGGTTAAAAAGACTGCATATGTATAAGCGTACACACATACATAAATATGTATATATATAAATATATATTATATTTATGCATAGATATATAGCTAATGTATACATGTATAAATGCATGTGTGTGTGGGTCTTTATAGATATGTATATGGACGTACATATATATGTATGTGTTTACGTACATGTATATATGCATACACATATGCGTATATAAATATGTATGTATGCATCTATGCATGTATAAGCAAAATCAATAAAGATATTTTTAGTGCAGCTCTTTAAACACATTCAGTTTATTTCCTAATGAAATCCCTCTCAAATCAAAAGTTCACCTCAGTAAAGGCTTAAGCATTTTTTAGAGCATGTACATTGTTGTTTGAATAAACTTTTCAATTAAATGTTTATCGCTCTCTTACTCTCTTTACATACATAGACATATATATTAGTATATGTATGTGCGTATAAATGAACCTTTTAAAAAGTAATACGGATTGCCATATATGCGAAATACTCGAAAAGCGCACATCACATCATGATATTTTCAGAAAATGGTATATGTCATGTATCTTCCTTGAAGAATCGTTTTTAGTGAAAAATATATATCCTACATTAGGAAATATATTTTGTAATAAAGCAACTGGAATTTCTTTGTCTATAAGAGATTTTTGACTGAATAGGTTGTTGTTTGAGTCAAAGAATCAGTTTCAAAGTTTCATTTTATTATAGAAAAGTCTTTTAAATATTGACAATGTTCGTTGTACTTTTCATACTCAAGGAATATTTCTTAGGCATGATAGGTGGGAACAAGTGGGGCATGATATGCAGGCTCAGGGGCGTGATATAGGGCGTGATATGTTGGCTCGGGGGCGTGGTAAGCCTTGGCAGGGGCGTGGTGAGGGGCGGCTGCGTGGGCGTCGTAGTGGGGCGTCCCCTCGTAGGAGACGGTGGGGTGGTAGCCAGTCTCGTCGGCGTAGTAAGTGACGGTCTGGACGCGGCCGTCGGGGAGGTGCACGAAGTACTTGCCCTCCGTCTTGTAGCCGTCGCGAGCCTCCGAGTGGCCGAAGTGGGTGCCGGCGTAGTCGTCGTGGACGGCGTGCTCGAAGGCGTAGTGTGGAGGCGTCTGAAGAGAGTGGGAGATCACCAAGGTTTTATCAGGACGCAGTTTAGTCATATGGAGGCGTCATTGTCCTATATAAAAAATCTTTCCCAAATTCAAGAAATGTAAAATTGAGATCCAAAACTACGATTATCAATACACTAACAGTAGGAAGACTTACATCAGGATAAACAGGAGCATATCCCTTTCCATGGTGTACAGGGGCAGCAGGGGCAGCATGGTGTACAGGGGCAGCATGGTGCACTGGAGCATGGTGTACAGGGGCAGCATGGTGTTGGTGTACCATGGTGTACAGGGGCTACATGATGTAGCGGAGCAGCATGGTGACCTAGTGGGTGGTGCAGAGAACTCTTGACGTGGTGACTGATATCTCCTGAAACGAGGGCGACCACGCCTGCCACCAGCACCAAGCCTACCTGTTGGCGAATAGAATAGCGTTAATAAAGGAACTCTACATCTTTCCCAATTCTTAAAACCTTCAAATACCACAGGAAGCACCAGCACAAAGTCAGTACCTTTCGCATCATGTTGAGGTTGAGAATGTTGTGAGTTAGTGGGAAGTGCCGCCCTCTTTATATAGCTGCCGCGCCGCTTGCGTTGACCGCTGAAGGTCACTTCTGTTGTGTCCGCCTAAAGAAAGTTTTTGAACTTTACATACAATGCCATTAAATATTAACGTTTTCCAAGTACAACTTCATCTTGCAGGAAAAAGAACTTTCAAAGTTTGTTATATACAGATGTTCATCAAATGCAGTTTGGAAACCCGGACTGAAGAGCAGGGAATCAGGTGGCAGTCCACTGAACATCCTCTTTCCGTTGGAATTTGTTCCCGTGGCAAGGTCGGTCGCTTCGCCGATGCAGATCTCCATAAGCATCACCGTGCAGCCCAGATAAGAGAAGTCTTATCAGCTGTCGCAGGGATTAGAAAGAAGGAATATGAAAGGTAGACGAAAGTTATTAAAGTTCCATGTATGATGAAACATTTTAGGACATCAGAGATATCCCTTAAATGATAGTCTATAATAGTCTATAAGGTAGTAAATTACTATAGCAAGACTACGCATAGGGTTGTGTTTTGTGCAATAACAAAATCATTACATTAAATTATAAACGCGGCAAAACCCTTTGTGTTCCGTATTACAAACCCTGTTTATAAAAGTTAATGAATGGAAATATTTCTATCCAAAAGCAATCTTTTGAATATTGCAACTTTTCCATAAGTCAAATTATATTTTCCTGTTTTCTCTCTCTCCGTTTTTACATATGTAATGATAAGAAAGTTATTCAGATACTCTGAACACTGGGGTGCAGTCTTTCAGATATGTCTGACTGATGGTCCTCTTAATTCATTATATTCAATCAGATTACAGTGAGTGTTATATGTGTTTGTAGGTACATGGACAACTTTTTTAAGACTACATATGTATATGCGTACACACACACACACACACACACACACACACACACACACACACACACACACACACACACACATATATATATATATATATATATATATATATATATATATATATATATATATATACGATGTGTCAGAAAAGTTCAACGACAGATGTCACAAAAGATTATTTCAAATCCCCCTTGAATCGTAATGTACTTTATCCGTCTCAGCGACGCTTGCATACACTCTTGGAAGGATTCTTCCGGGATCCTCCGCAGTAGGTGGTTGCTCCAGCACGGCGATGCTGTTCTCGACCAGGAACCGTCGGTTGCTCAGGGCACTGTGAGCAGGCGCGTTGTCATGGTGAAGCAGCCACGAGTTGTCCTGCCACAACTCTCGCCTCTTCGCACTGAACGAGGCAAATGCTGCAGTATCTGTTTGTAGACATGTCGACTGATCGTCTGGCCCTGTGGCAAGAAGTCGCAGAGGACGATCCCCCTGTGACATAAGTCAGGGAGCTTTTCTGACACTATATATATATATATATATATATATATATATATATATATATATATATATATATATATATATATATATATATATAGCATACATATATAGCTATTATATGCATGTATAAATGCATGTGTGTGTGAATATATGTAGATATATATGTCTGTGTGTATGTCTATAGACATACATATAGATATATATGTATGTATGCATGTAGACGTACATATATATGTATAGACACACATATGTGTATATAAGTATGTATGTATGTATATATGCATATATAAGCAAAATCAATAAAGAGATTTGTAGTGCAACTCTTCAAGCACATTCAGTTTATTTCCCAATGAAGTCCTTCAAATAAAATGTTTATCACTCTCTTACTCTCTTTACATACATAGACATATTGATATATGTATGTGTATATAACTGACCCTTTTTAACGTAATACTGATACCTATATATGCGGAATAACCCCACAAAATGGTATAAGTCATGTATCTTTCTTGAAGGATCGGTTTTAGTGAAAAATATATCCTACATTAGGAAATGTTTCATATTTTGTGTCAGAGCAACTGGAATTTCTTTGTCTACAAGATTTTTGACTGAATAGGAGTTGCTTGAGTCAAAAAATCTGTTTCAAAGTTTCATTTTATTATAGAAAAGTCTTTTAAATATTGACAATGTTCGTTGTACTTTTCGTACACAAGGAATATTTCTTAGGCATGATAGGTGGGAACAACTGGGGCATGATATGCAGGCTCAGGGGCGTGATATACTGGTTCAGGGGCGTGATATGTTGGCTCGGGGGCGTGGTAAGCCTTGGCAGGGGTGGTGAGGGGCGGCTGCGTGGGCGTCGTAGTGGGCCGTCCCCTCGTAGGAGACGGTGGGGTGGTAGCCAGTCTCGTCGGCGTAGTAAGTGACGGTCTGGACGCGGCCGTCGGGGAGGTGCACGAAGTACTTGCCCTCCGTCTTGTAGCCGTCGCGAGCCTCCGAGTGGCCGAAGTGGGTGCCGGCGTAGTCGTCGTGGACGGCGTGCTCGAAGGCGTAGTGTGGAGGCGTCTGAAGAGAGTGGAGAATCACCAAGGTTTTATAGGACGCAGTTTTAGTCTTATATGGAGGCGTCATTGTCCTATATAAAAAAATCTTCCAAATTCAAGAAATGTAAAATTGAGATCCAAAACTACGATTATCAATACACTAACAGTAGGAAGACTTACATCAGGATAAACAGGAGCATATCCCTTTCCATGGTGTACAGGGGCAGCATGCAGGGCAGCATGGTGCACCAGCATGGTGCACAGGGGCAGCATGGTGCACTGGGGTAGCATGGTGTACAGGGGCTACATGATGTAGCGGAGCAGCATGGTGACCTAGTGGGTGGTGCAGAGAACTCTTGACGTGGTGACTGATATCTCCTGAAACGAGGGCGACCACGCCTGCCACCAGCACCAAGCCTACCTGTTGGCGAAGAATAGCGTTAATAAAGGAACTCTTCCCAAAAAACCAAATGCACAGGAAGCACCAGCACAAAGTCAGTACCTTTCGCATCATGTTGAGGTTGAGAATGTTGTGAGTGGGAAGTGCCGCCCTTTATATATAGCTGCCGCGCCACCTACGTTGACCGCTGAAGGTCACTTCTGTTGTGTGTCCGCCCAAGGAAAACGTATCAATTCAATCAAATATCAATTTTTGTTCGTAGTCTAATTTCACCTTGCAGAGTTAATATGCAAACCACGTTTGCTATTTAATTAATTTAAATAAATGCAGTTGGGAAATCTACGTACATAGCGCAGTACTCTATACAATAATTAAATAATCACTTTAGATTGTGGAAGATACTCGAGCTACTTTGATTACTTATTACGCCCCTGTTTATAAAAGCTGTTTCTAATCGATCAAAATATTTCTGTCTAACGATTTTTGATAAATGGAATCATAATTTCTTGTTTCTTTATATATATATATATATATATATATATATATATATATATATATATATATATATATATAACGATATATAAAGATGTTCAGAGGTGAACACTGAGGTGCAGAACTCCAAGAATGCCTGACTGATGTCTAATGGTTCTTTGATTTCAATAAGTTCAGAAAAAAAAAAATAAAAAAATAATAAAAGAAAACGTAATTTTTTTTTCAGGCGCGTAAATTGATCTGTAATCATTTGAAATCAAATTTATGTGTATGAGTGATATGTGTATGTAGAGAGATATTATAGTTTGATAGATTAATTAAGACTGCATACATATATATACATACATATACATTTATATAATGTACACATATCCAGTGGAGGAGCCACGGGGGGAATGGGGTGGGTCCGGATCCCCCACTTTTCCAAAAGATAGTCCACGTGATTTCTCAAGAAGAAAGAAAGAAAGAAAAAGGTTGAGGGGGGTGGGGGTGTAAAGGACTTGCCAAAGTTGTCAAAGCGTGTAGTTATAAAATTCTACTTCCTTACGAGTTTGATTTTGGCAATGAGTATTCTGCACGTGCTTAAACCACATGTATTATGCCATTAGTTCAACATTGAGACTACATTGGACCCCCCCCCCTCCCACCCCTTTTGAGGCTGGCTCCGCCGCTGCACATATTTCTCTTTCTCTCTCTCTCTATATATATATAGATAGATAGATAGATAGATAGATAGATAGATATAGATAGATAGATAGGATATAGATGTCTATTTATTTATATGTATAAATGAAATACAAACACACACACACACACACATATATATGTGTGTGTGTGTGTGCGTTTGTGTGGACATATATATATATATATATATATATATATATATATATATATATATATATATATATATATATATATATATATATTATATATATATATATATATATATATATAATATATACATATATATATATATATACGTATATATATATATATATATATATATATATATATATATATTATATATATATTATATGTGTGTGTGTGTGTGTGTGTGTGTGTGTGTGTGTGTGTACCTATGTGTATGTATGAATATATATAAGTATGTATGTGTTAGCAATTTATAAGAAGACCTTTCCCATGAAGCTCTCTAAGCATATCCGGTTGAATCCCATATGAAATCCCTCTCAAATCAAGTGTTCATCCAGATAGAGGCTTTTTTCCTCAAGCCTGTTTTATGGCACGTAAATTGCTAGTTTACTTAATTTTTTAAATGCACCTATCGTTCTCTGCTTTTCCACATACACATATACATTTATATATGTGTGTGTGTGTGTGAGTGAACCTTTTGAATAAAAGAAATGAGATAAATGGATAACCATATGTGCAGTGTACCTAAAAACGCACATCACATCATGGCATTTTTGTCAATGGTACACGTCTTGTATCTTTCTTGAAGGATCGGTTTCAGTGAAAAGATATCTTACATTACGAAATGTCATATTATGTATTAGAGGAACAGGAATTCCTTTTCCTTAACGGGACTCTGATGAATATAAGGTTGCTTGAGTGAAAGAATCAGTTTCAAAGTTTCATTTTATTATAGAAAAGTCTTTTAAATATTGACGATTTTCATTGTACTTTTCTTACAAGAAAATGCATTTAGTCTTAGATATGATAGGTGGGTACAATTGGGGCGTGATATGCAGGCTCAGGGGCGTGGTAAGCCTTGACAGGGGCGGCTGCGTGGGCGTCGTAGTGGGCCGTCCCCTCGTAGGAGACGGTGGGGTGGTAGCCAGTCTCGTCGGCGTAGTAAGTGACGGTCTGGACGCGGCCGTCGGGGAGGTGCACGAAGTACTTGCCCTCCGTCTTGTAGCCGTCGCGAGCCTCCGAGTGGCCGAAGTGGGTGCCGGCGTAGTCGTCGTGGACGGCGTGCTCGAAGGCGTAGTGTGGAGGCGTCTGAAGAGAGTAGGAGACCACCACGGTTTTATCAAGACGCAGTTTTAGTCTTATATGGAGGTGTCATTGTCCTATATAAAAAATCTTTCCCAAATTCAAGAAAATGTAAAATTGAGATCCAAAACTACGATTATCAATACACTAACAGTAGGAAGACTTACATCAGGATAAACAGGAGCATATCCCCAGGGGGCAGCATGGTGTACAGGGGCAGCATGGTGCACTGGGGTAGCATGGTGTACAGGGGCAGCATGGTGTACAGGGGCAGCATGGTGTACAGGGGTAGCATGGTGCACAGGGGCTACATGATGTAGCGGAGCAGCATGGTGACCTAGTGGGTGGTGCAGAGAACTCTTGACGTGGTGACTGATATCTCCTGAAACGAGGGCGACCACGCCTGCCACCAGCACCAAGCCTACCTGTTGGCGAATAGAATAGCGTTAATAAAGTAACTTAAAAATCTTTCCCACGTCTTAATACCTTCAAATGTCACAGGAAGCACCAGCACAAAGTCAGTACCTTTCGCATCATGTTGAGGTTGAGAATGTTGTGAGTTAGTGGGAAGTGCCGCCCTTTTTATATAGCTGCCGCGCCACTTACGTTGACCGCTGAAGGTCACTTCTGTTGTGTCCGCCTAAAGAAAGTTTTTGAACTTACATACAATGCCATTAAATATTAACGTTTTCCAAGTACAACTTGGAAAACGTTAACATTTAACTTCATCAACTTCATCTTGCAGGAAAAAGAACTTTCAAACTAAGTTTGCTATATATATATATATAATAGATAGATAGATAGATAGATAGATAGATAGATAGATAGATAGATGTTCATCAAATGCAGTTTGGAAACCCGGACTGAAGAGCAGGGAATCAGGTGGCAGTCCACTGAACATCCTCTTTCCGTTGGAATTTGTTCCCGTGGCAAGGTCGGTCGCTTCGCTGATGCAGATCTCCATAACCATCTCCAGCGTGCAGCCCAGATAAGAAAAGTCTTATCAGCTGTCACAGAGATTACAAAGAAGGGAATATAAAAGGTAGACGAAAATTATTAATGTTCCATGTACGACGAGAACATTGTTAGGACATCAGAGATATTCCTTAAATGATAGTCTATAATGGTCTATAATCTCGAAGGTAGTAAATTACTATAGCAAGACAACGCATAGGGTTGTGTTTTGTGCAATAACAAAATCATTACCTTAGAAAGCCCTTTGTGTTCTGTATCACCAACCCAGTTTATAAAAGCTAATCGGTGAAAATAGAATATTGTCTTTCCATGATGAGTCAAATTATATTTCCTCTTTCTTTTCTTTCTTTTTATATAAGAAATAATCAGAAAGCTATTCAAAGACTGTAATACTGGGCTGCAGTCTTTCAGATATGTCTGACTGATGGTCCTCTTAATTCAATAATTTCAATCAAATTGAGTGTGATATATGTCTGTAGATAGAGAGGCAGATAGATATAACTATAGATTGATAGACAACTTAAGTAAGACTGCATATGTATATGCGTACACACACACACACACACACACACACACACACACACACACACCACACACACACACACACATATATATATATATATATGTGATGTGTGTTGTTGTGTGTGTGTGTGTGTGTGTGTGTGTGTGTGTGTGTTGTGTAAAATAGATATTATATATTTATAGATATCCATCGATTATATAGCTTATGTATTGCATGTATACGTGCATGTTGTGTGTGGTT